CAAGTGAGTTATACTATTAGGTCCTTAGTTCACTGAAAAGGAAGGTTTGTGCTAATACTGACTGGACAAATTTTAATGACTGTATCTTGTAGTTTGAATGACTAAAGATAACAATATTCAATGTATTAACTAGTCATTCTATTATTTTGTTATGAAATGTTTTATCTTTTTCCCATAAAAAAAATCAAAGAAGGCTATTTGATCCACTTTATTCAACAATTTGAGATAGTCTTCTATTTGAAAGTAGCACTTGGGAAGTTTTTTACTTCAACTAATTATCTATTCTTCTATACACTGTCTTCAAACTTTTGGTGCAAGTTTGTGAGTCAAACTGTGAAAATTTACCTTTAAATTGCATTGGTCTATGGAAAGGTCCACAGTTAAACTTCTACATTTATTGATTTAGTCAGTAATTTTTGGCTAATAAAAATGCTGACAGGTATATAAACAGGATATGTGAAAACATTTTTCTTGCCTTTTAGAAGTTACTTTATAATCTTCAAATCACTTTTTCTCCCTCAAACCAGTTCTACCCTGAATTTTCCACCAGCTGTTAATGACAACTCTACCTATCCTTCAAACCAAAGTTCAAATCCAAAACTTTGCGATCACCTATTCTGTCTCAATTTATCGCAAATCCCAAGTTCAACAGTCATGTTGTTTCTACTTAGAGAAGATGAGTAGAATCAGACCATTTCTTGTCATCTCTGCTTCAGTTTGGGTGTAAAATTATCTTTTACTGGCCAACGTGCTAAAGGCTTATTTCTTAACTTTGCACTATTGAGGAGTGGTACAAACTTTAAGAGGAGGGGTTGAATGAGAGTTTTTAGGTCAGAGGCATGTCCCTGAAGGGGACACTGGCCCCTTCTCTTCTCTATTTTGCTTCCTGACTACCATAAAGGGAACAGTTTTCTTTATTACATGCTCCTCCCATGAGGTACTGTGGTCTTACAACAGGCCTAAAAGCAATGGTGCCGAATATCATGGATTTAAAACCTCTGAAACTGTGAGCTAAAATAAACCTTTCCTCTTTTTAGATTGGCTATCTTGGGTATTTTTTTTTCCATCATGACCAACCTCCATACTATTCCTCTGACTCGTGCCATCTGCATTTCTCCCTTAGGTTATTACAACAGCCTCCTTAATGACTGTATCTTGTAGTATGAATAACTACTTTAAAGATAACAATATTCAATATATTAACTAGTTATTCTATTATTTTGTTATGAAATGTTTTATCTTTTTCCCATAAAAAAATAAAAGAAGGCTATTCAATCTACTTTATGAAACACTATTAGTTTTGGATTTGAACAGTTTGAAGGATAGGTAGAGTTGTCATTAACAGCTGGTGGACAATTCAGCCTAATTTTACTCTTGTCTCTTTATAGATAATTCCCAAAAGGGCATATCATTCTCATCAGGGTATACTCCTGCTTCATGGCCTTCATACTTGCTCTTTTCTTGGTCTAGCATGGTCCTCCTCTAGCTGTTCCTACATCTTGCCCCTTTATGTTCTATTAAGCTTTTATATGCTATCTTTGCAGTGAAGCCTGCTGTCGCCAACCAATTAAGAAATCATTCTCTAGCATTCTCCTCTTTCATCACCCTAATTTAGCTTACTTCATACCCTATACTCTTCTAAAGCATTTAAAATTTACTCACTGTATTTACATTGTCTTCCTTCCACTAAAATATAAGCTACACAAGGGCAAGGACTTTCGTTTTATTCACTGCCATATTTCTAGTATAGCACATATGAAAACAACTAATAAATATATGTTGAATTAATGAACTGTGTTAGAGACATACATTTAAGCATGTTATTATAACACAGACCAAGTGCTAGTAACAAACATGTACAAAGTGCTGTTGAAGAAAATTAGTAAGTTACTGCCACACTTTCCAACTTTTTCTCAGTTTATTTGGAATGCCGGCATTGCTTGCCATACTGTACCTTTAGGGACCATTCTTCATGGGATCTCACTGGGTGTACACACTCTTTTCTGCTTTGAGCCACCACTGTGCATGTTTAGAAGCTCCTGCGACACTTATATTACCTTGAACCAGAAAGATTCATATTTTCGTCTTCTGCCCATCTACTAAATTATAACCTCCTGAGGAGTGATTTTTGCCTTTAAGTCCTCCACTGAATTGCATTTAATATCTTCCACAAAGTTCTCAATGAAAGTTTGTTGTAAAAATGTCATTAATTCCAGGGGCCAGGGAAATGGCTCAGTGGAATAAGTGCTTCCCTGGCAAGCACAAGGATCTGAGTTCAATCCCTGGTTCCACCAAAAAACTAAAAATGTCATTAATTCCACGCCTCTTAAGGTGATTATCATCCTTAACTGCATTCCTTAAAAAGAATCTGACAAAGCCAGTTAGCTTTGCTAGTTAGGGAATGCTTTTCAAAATCCAGATTAAGATTAGAATCACTGCATTAAACTTAATCATTTAGTGAGTCTTAAAAGAAATGATAATTTTTCTACTTAAGGTTACCTTTACAATGCACATGTAAATCCTGAGGATTGGCTGTTTTCTTTTTAATAATTACACAAAAAAATGGAATTCACAGTCTGAACAAAAGTATCATCTGAAGTGATTTTCATAAGCAATATTTAAGTTCATGGTTTTTATCTATGAGTACACATCTCAAAAGAGAGACAGTGGAAAAATAAAATTCTATTTCTAAATAAATCCTATAAACTACTTTCCATAATTTTCCTCAAGTACAGAAGATACCAGTCTCCTTCTACCTGCAAAATGGTATAGTATTTTAATAACATTAATTTGGAGAATTTTTCAGAATTGAAAAACTTTCAGATAATGGGAGATACTAAAGATTAAATGCTGCTGTATCTTAAGCAGTTAATGTTTGGCAGCTACCAACTTAGATCAAAGAGCAAAGTCAAACAATATTTTCAATACCTACATTTATTTTTGCTTCTGTTTTTCCTTTGCCCCTTTTGTAATGATCAGTACAGGTTAGTTCTTATTTGTAGTCAAGAGTCCGCTTTGTAAAGGACTACAATCCCTCAAATAGTGGTTCAAAGAATAAAACTTATTATTCATGTCAAATTAGTCTCCTCTCTTCTTTCTCCTCCTCTTCCTTCTTCCCTTTCCTCCTCCTTCTTCCTCTTCTTTTTCCCCCCTTTGGTTTTCTTTATTTTGAGAGATGGGATCACACTAAGTAACTTGGGCTGGCCTTGAAGTGACTATAAAACCAAAGCTGGCCTCAAGCTTGTGATGATTCTCCTGCCTCAGTCATCCAAAGGCTAGGATAATAGGTATGCACAATTACCAGATCTACATCAAACTTTAATCCATAGATTCACCTCTATCTAACTCAGGACAACAATCTTCCAGCACATCTATAATGTGTGACCTATAATGACAGAAGTCTTACATTAATCCATTGAAAAAAATATTCAAATTAATTTAAATTTGTAGTTCGGTTATGCATACATGAAAATATTTATTTCCTATTCTGTGAGAAATCATTTCAAACAACTAGTTTAAAAATCTTTTTAAATTTGTAGGCCTAATACATTCTGCACATAGTAATCAAGACTATATACAGTAACCAACATCCTTTGAATAGAAATATACTGATTTCACTTTTGATTACTCTAATTAGCCAGGTAAGAAAAAAATTAGATTTCAGAGAAGAAATGTTCAAATTTTATCTGGCAGAAGAAGAATCAACCTTAAGTCACGCTTTCATATATTAGAATTTCCCCAGAATATTATGCTTTATAGAAACAAAAACATACCAAACAGACGAAATATATTAAATGAAAATAAATTCAATTATTAGAGAATTGGAAGATGGAAAACAGAATATAAGAATGACATGTACAGCATTTTCTCTACCTAATTTAGCTTCCCTTTTGCAAAGTAAATCACTTAGCTACAGAAACCTGGAATATTTTTTGTAAAAATTGATTTAAATACTAATCTGCAATACAATTGGGCAAGGATTAATATAATTAAGCATTTAAGTACCACTCTGAAATACAATTACTGAATAGCACTGTGACTTTTTTCTTCAAAGCACTTAACTGATTTGTGGTGAATAATCAGATTAATTTTCTCTCTGTTACTTGACTGTAATTCCTTAAAACAAGGTTGTGTTTGCCTTCTTCATCTTTTTATCGCCAGCATCAGACAAGATCCTGGCCTGCGAATTCGTATAAATGAACGTCATTAAAAACAAAACAGGTCAGCTTTAGTCAAGACCAGTGATCTGGAAACTTCTGCCTCCTGAAGAGAGAAGTGAAGACCCTCTTCCAAACACAGGATGCTTTCTCTCCTTTCTTCCTGCCAGTTGCTTAGCATTTTTGTCCACAGTTTTCCTCTGGAAAATCTGTGAAATCAGAGTGTCTACTTCATTGGCCAGTGAGATTAGCACACTGCGCTATATGTTCCTGGCCGATTAGTAAAGCTCATTCCGTGCTGTAGGATTCCAATGATGGTTAAGAATTAACTCATGTTTACACTTCCAAAAATTATTTATAAGAGCCCCTCTCTTGGCGTCTTTCACCCGTGTTCTCAATAATCCTCATGGTCAACTCCCAGACCGGTCAAACATCGAAGAGCTTTCCCAGCGCCCTCGCCTTTCCCTCAGCTGAGGAGAGACCCCTTTCCCACGTGCCCTCGGGGCCGAGCCTTCAGCGCTCTGGGTTCTCAGCGCGCAGGCGCGCATCTCTGCAGGCGGCAGAGGTGAGGCTCGCGTACCACACTGCGCAGGCGCACAGGCAGACGCCCACCCGGCGGAGGCGGGAAAGTCGCGCCAGGTCGCCTCAGCGCTTGAGCCTAAGCGGGCGTGGGCTCTGCCAGGCATTGCACCGAGGGCCTCTCCCCTCTCAGCCTGACAAGGAGGTTTCCCTTAAATGGTGCGGGCACACGGGGAGGCGCTGGCCGCACGTCCGCCACCGGGGGGAAGGTCCGCGCCGACCCCAGCACAGGACGGCGGCCCACCCTGCCCGCCGTGCCGGTACCTCGCCGTACACCAGGCTCTGCTTTCTCATGTAGACGTGGGGAAGCTCCGCGGAGGCGGCCAGGGAGAAGATGTTGCCGATGACTGGCAGCCCCCGCGGCCCTGGGGGGAAGCCCACAGGCCGCCTCTGCTTCAGCAGCTGGTGGACCACCAGCGCGAAAAGCAGCAGGAAGATTCCGCTTCCGAGCACCGGCGCGCCCGCCTCAGCGCCCTGAGCCTCCCCCATGCCCCGAGCCTGGGGTACTAGCTCCGTCGCCAAGCCGCAGCGGGCGCTCCCGCCACGCCCTGCGCTGCCATTGGCGGGATTCCCCGAGGTCCCGCCCTAGCTCCGTAACTATTGGCTCGCTGAGTGTAGGGCGCTGGGGCGTGGCCGCCAGCTGCCTGCTGGCTTTGCTGGACACCAACTCCGCGGCGGGCACCGGTCTTGGAAGGCCCTTTAACGTGTGTGGACAGTGACGACTGTCTGCGCGGCTCCACTCACTGAGCCGGAGGGATCCTGCCGCTGCAATCTTAAAGTATGTTTTCTATGTCCTGCTAGGAAGACTCGAGTCAACGCTGCAGTCTTTAGCTGAACCGGGTAATTTTCAGACTTGGCATTAATTTAGCGAGTTGTCCACTCTGTATAAAAAGAAAATAAACAGTATTTTCTCCTTGCTTACTCATAAGTTTTCTCCTGTTAAAAGGGCTGTTTTGGTGGGGGTTGCTTATCTTTTCATTCCTTTCTGGGTCTTCCAAGCTAGTTACTTACTATAATCACAGAGGCCTGTCTAGTCTGCAGTTGCTCAGGGATGCCACTTCTTGACCTGGAAATGTTGGTGGCTGGCGATGCAGGAATGTAGAGGAGACAGGAGTTTATTTAGATGGGGCACACTACCAAGTGGGACAGAGGGTGAGTTTCCAAGACAGGAACCACGCAATCAAGGTGAGATTGAGGGTTTTACAAGGTTTTAAGTGTTATAGGTAGCTGAGTTAGACAGAAACATAGGCAGTCAAGGCTAGGCCCTCAAAGGACCCAATATGGAAGACCAGATACCTTGCAACTGTGTGAAGGGTAGGCACTTCCACCATGGGCCAGACCCGAAGACAAAGATTAAACAGATGTACCCACATGCCTCCCTAGTGATAGACATCAGGGATTGATATTCTAAATAGTTATCAATCACCTTGGAAAAGCCAAAAAGAGTCAGTAACCCAATCCTTTACTAGAAAAGCCCCTATTCTGTATTCATGTCAGCTTGCTACATGAATGGATTCCCTATTTGATCCTGATTTAATCAATTTTACCCAAGCAATTATACTTGTAATCTTATTGCTTAGCCATACTTTTTGTTCAACCCCATGCCTACCTAGCGAGTCCTTGTGTTTCTCACCTTGTACCTGACTCAACTTGTGAATTTGCTCTATAAAAATCCCTCTTTGGTCCTCTTCTGTCCTTCTCTAGGACAGAAAGCTTTTTTCCCCCTCAATAAATATATTCTGCTCTTTACCTCCTTTGTTCTTGGACTGGGAAGATAGCTCAGCAGCTTAGGTGCTTGCCTAGCAAGTGCAAGGTCCTGAGTTTAATCCCCAGTGTTCTCTCTCTCTCTCTCTCTCTCTCTCTCTCTCTCTCTCTCTCTCTCTCCTCCTTTGTTCCTAGACCAATTTAGCAGTTTGTAGATCTTGGAGCACCTGTATTGTGTTCAATCTTACATTTACATTAGCAATTTTGACAAACCATTTTCCTTTGGCCAAAGAGGTCTATGCATATCTTTTAAGAAAAGATAGGTCAGGACTCATTGGAAAAGATGAATGGGCTTTAAGTCACAAGGTTAGCTATTCTTGTGACCACCTGAGAGCCTAATGTCTTTTAATTGGTGTTCTTTTGGTAAGTGATTTAATGTTTCTGTTCCCACAGGCAGCTAATACTAAATATAAGTAGTTCAAGCTTTCTGTCTCTGCTACCTAGAGTTAAGCAATAGATTTTGTGTTATTTCAGTTTCTATTTCTGATTTTATTTGGCAATACCATTTTCCCCATAATTTTATTGAGAAACAAATGGCAATGAGACAGTTTCAAAGCAAATTGGTAGGACAGTTCCAATAATTAACACATTGCATACTGCCTTCCTAGTGGTTATTTGCTGTAGAACATGCAGACATGATATCCTATTTACAAACACTATTAGAACAAATCCCTCTATTCATTAGGAGAATGTAACTATATATCTATCCTAACCATTTTGAATACACAGATACAAAATGGACATTCATCTGTAACACCTTTTTTGTTTAGTTCCGTCATTTAATATTATAGGTGTGTTAACTCAGCAAAATATTCTAACAGTCCAGTAGTCCGTAATAGTATTGGATCTTCCACTTGACTGGCAATGTCAGAAATTGTTGACAAGAGTCCTCTACAGCTCAACATAATACCATGGCTTTACTTCTTATACTTCGTTTTTATACTTTTCTGCTGGTTGGTTAAGACCAGGATAAAACAAGACCTATGTAACAAAAGTTGTAGCTTTTCAATCTGATATGGTCAGTGAAATCCCCTCAGGATTTATCCTGAGATCCTGTACCTCAGATTGTAGATCCTTTGTCAGTGTCAGCCATGTGGATGAATCATGGCCATTGCTTGGCCAGTGTCCTCTCTGTGAAAGCCTAAAAGAATGTTTTCTCTCCAAGTGACTCTCCTTAGGTACATTCCACATCATCGATCACTTTCGTCTTTGGCCCCATAATCTCCTTGATCAGAAAATTTGGGACACTACTGAGTTACATTATGTTACAGTACAAGTTTTCCTATGTCCTGAGTCTTATTTGACTTTGGAAGGCTAGGCCCAAAATGTTGGTTTTCCTTGCGGCCCTCCTTTTTCTCTAATTTTGATCTGCAAACTTAGGTTGTTAACCATCCAGAAGACAAGCTTATTGTTATTACCATACAACCTAGGCTGTTAAGCTTAACCCAAACATCTTAGGCCTAACATGGAACAGGTATTTTTCATCAAGTATTGATATGT